TTATCTTTACATATTAAAGCGAGTTATTTCCTTTCATTAATACTTACTGTGGTCACAAGATAAAATTAAAAAAATGTAAAAATTCAAGTAAAACTTATTCTTTGATTCTAGTGAGACTTAAAATAATACAAAACAAGTTTATCACCTTCTGGTGCTTTAATGGCGTATTGGAACATTAAATCTATACAAGTATTGTATTAACTGGGTTACAACCTCTGGAACTCTACATGAAGCTATGACATTAACTGCATCAGACGCATGGAGCTTGCAACTAACTTTCAAACACTTGTCAACCGTGCAAAACTACATTCAGGCCTTTCAGGTTTCTTCCAATCAAGCAGGTCCTCTCTCTAGGACAAGCAGGCAGCACTGGACAACATTCAGCCTTTTGTTATGAATCATGCTGATTATGATCTTACTTCTCATTTCAACCTATGCCGTTTGACATAAAATCTACCTGCTATTTACTAAACCTCTGGACTGACCAAGTATGTGACAAAATGAGACATAAAAAAATCAACATAAAGCTAACGGTTAGTAAAACATAAATGTCACTTATCTAGTTTCAAATATGTCAACTATTATAAGTTTAAAAATTTTAATGCTACTCAATAAATTGCATAAAGTTTATTTTTTCTCAAACCTATTAATAATTATGTTAATTAATTCATGTTTATTATGTTAATTAATTCATGTTTATTAATAATGCATACTACTTAGGAATCTATTTCATTTTTAGGTTGATATTACAAAAGTGAAATTAAGGCATGGATTATATTAACTGAATTTATTCAGTTCCCATTTGCTCATAGATCCTTAATTTTTTTCATTAATGGTCCTTAAAAGTCTTTAAAAGTACTTAATTTCCATGTGCAGAAATGTGTATGAACCCTGTTTTCCCTATGTGTAATTTGTATACGAGCCAGTTTCCCTTAGATTGAGTCTTCCAGGAAGGCAGATCCTTAGGCAGATAGCCCTCGAAGCTTTGCCATAATCACATAAACCTAAACTGAAGCTATTAATACATGAAAAAATAGGAATCTGTAAAAATGGGAAACTTCTTATTATATTATTATTTTTTGTTTAGTCTGGGATTTGACTAATGATGTAATTATTCCTTTATATGCCCAATAAGAGTTTTAATTAATACACATTTAAAATTTACGGTTCAAAAGCAAACAAATCCCAAAAAGTGTATCTTGGCTGAAAGGAAGAAAGTTGGCAGCATGCGTTAATAAAAGCGAATTGCAAGCAAATTATATTTTAAGAAATCTGCAGTATAGACTGCTTCACATAAAGGTGAAAAGTATTGTGAGCAAGATTAATATTATATCTACATCTGATATTGCAATGCACATATAATGGTTGGAATGGAAAATTGTTTGGTTATTTGCTGAAAAGACTGCAATCAAAAGAGAAAAAAGAGTGATTAAATATAAGGAAAAAGATTCGAAATTTTGCAGCTAACAACAGCTGGCTTTAAAAATTTAAGTTTAGGACTGAACTAAGCTATGTGAAAATAATAAATACAGTTGCAAAGACTGAGGATGTTACATCTGTATTTCCTACTTAGATACAAAAAATTTGTGAAAACAATTATTACAATTGTTGCTACATTTTCAATATAGATGAAACTAGATTGTTAAATGGAATTCATCTAGAACTTATATAAAAGCAGCTCAACCTGTCTATAAAGTGTCAAAAGATCATTAAATTGTTCTGCTTGGAGATAATGAAAATAGCAGTCTTAAGTTGAAACAATGGTTTTTTTTTAACTAAACTTTAGGTACTTTAAGAGATTGCAGTCAGAAATCTTAGCCTGTAAAGCAGACAAATCAAAAGGCTTTTGTTACCAAAATTTATAATTTAAGTCTTATTTATGTCTCGTATTTCAGTTTTACTTCAAGACAAATAACTTCCCTTTCAAATAACATTTGTAGTCATCCAAATCCTCCTAATGCTTATATATATGAGCATTAGGAGGATTATATATATAGGTAATGATACCATCAGTCAGCTTCATCATAGAGCAGCAGTTTTGAATATCTGTGTGTATGCCAAAAATTTGCCATTATTTTGAATGTCCTTTAACCAGATGCCATCGGAGTCAATTGCAGATCAGAACAGTTCCTAAGGTCATATATTTTATTCTAAGCTGAAACAGTAAATATGGCAGTGCAGTGGCTGATAGATGTTTAGATTGTATTGAAAACTGAAATTTAATTATCGGACAAAATGAAAGGAAGCTTTAGTAATTGTTTCTTGTTTCCTGCAGTCATTTAAAATGGAAATGTAGCTAGACAATGCATTTAAAGATTTGTTTTGTTTCTTAAAATCTGTGAGTTGTAATCATGTATTGGAAACTTAGCTGCATTTATAAACCTTATTTCAGTTGTTTTATATTTAAAGAGATGGCTTGTATTTGCTACGTGTTTAGTGCATTGTAGTCTTTCCAAGTTATACGCCATTAAATCCGCAGTTCATCCATAATTGCGTGTACATATATAAAACTAATAATTCTGTTAAATACATCTTCTAATTCAAAATTATTGATGACTTTCTTTGAAAATTTAGTAAAATTAATGTCTGTGTTTACTTAGAATATTACATATTTATAATTGCCTATAAATTTTATGTTTAGTTGTAGCGATGCATTGGGTTACAAATTTCCTAGAAACCAGCTGTGAATTGCAAACTGGTACAGTGGTTAATGCATAAAGCTGTCTGAAATGCCCTTGATTTTCCCCTTTTTTATATTTTAAATTCACCTTTAAAAAAAATACTGTGTCTTTTGAAGGTTTACAGCGGAATTAATTCGAAATATGATTTTCATTTCTTTCTGCAGTTATTTAAAAGAATTTTTTTCTCTAAGAAATTTTGCATTTTTCCATTTAGTAGTGTAAATGCAATTATATATTTTGGCAGTTCGTTTTAAAATTTAAAGTGCCAGTGCCCTATAGAAGGTTCTCAGTTAACGTGAGAAATACATTGGCAAGGAAAATTAAAGTAACATCTATAAAAAGATGCTTTATGTTGTTAAGTCCATTAAGGAAATCTATCGTAATTGATTGGTTGCTTCACATTCTAATTTCAAGCTTGTGTATGTACTGGTGATGAATGCATGCAACTAGGTCAAGGTTGAAAGCATGTCACAACAGATTCTGAGAACTGTTATTTGGCAGCATTTGCTAAAAGAAATAGATAACTAGCCTTGGTTCAAATTGAAAGGATGTTTGCTGCAGCTGTAGGAATTTGACTATCCAGATGTACTATGAATGGCATGACATTTATCTTTTAAAACTTTGACTGCCTGCTTGTCAGTGTTAAGCTTAGAGTCTTTGTCACCACAGATAAAATCTTTCCATGTGGACATGTAGGTTTTCCGAGTCCAAGTCTTCAGATTGTGCTGACTGGTGGTATCGGTATGCATGTAAATAAGCTTTCAATTTTTGTATGAATTTCCAAAACTATTATAAAAGTTCTTATAAAATATGAATGTAGAGTATGTAAAGTAATATAGTATATTTGTAAGTATACTAAAGGTAACTAATATGAAACATAATTGTAAAGCATATTTGAAACTTTCCAGCATCTTAAAATATTGTGAATTCATTTGATTCTTGAATATCGAGAAGTTCTAAGGTACCATCTGCCTGTGGGTGTTGAAAATCCACGTCTGACTTCCCAAAACCTAACTACTAAACTTTATTGCGGTTATTGTTTATACTTTATTTTTAAGATGCAATAACTGAGATGATAAAGCTATTATGTAAGAAATTCGTTAAAAAAAGAAATACAGTAATAGTAGTATGTAAAGTCTCTTCAGCATTTGTGCTTTCACTCTATCACAATATTTCCAAAGTCTGAGTTTGTGCCATATTTCAGAGGAGTAGTAACCTTGTTTTTCTTTGTTTGCTTCATCATCAGACAAGTTGCGTCATTTTCATATGTCAGTGGCTGTGTGTAATTAAACATATAATAATAAAAATACAATATTTGTAAACTTATTGTGTCTTATTTTTTCTTATTTTGTCTAATATATTGGGTGTTGCAAGTGTAATAATGACTAAAGAGTATAATTTCATGTCTAGAGTCTGTAACAATTCCAAAAAATGTATTTAGTTCACAAACAGGTTTTCTATGTTGTAACTATAATAATATTCAATTAATAAATAAGGAATCCTACTTCCCAAAAGTTTACCTATTGCAGTAGAGTCTGGAATTGATTAACTGCGATAAACAAGGACTAACATGTCAGTACTTAAATTTACATCTCAGTTTGCATGAGGAAGCTAACTGTTCTTAAATCAAATATTAGATGCCAAAAATGAATGTCTTTGCAGCAGTTTTTATGCATATATTATGATAGTAAATGATGAGATGTACAGATATTTACTGATTATTTTTTATTCATTCAGGATGCACTTTAGTAATGTTTTAAGTGTAGTTTTTAGTATGTTAACTTAGATTATTTTGTTTTGTCTTAACTAGATTATGGCATTTTGTACCCAATTTATTTTTCTCGGCGTCGTTTGGTCAAGTGGTTCATTTGCAAGTTTCTGAAACTGATGCTTATCTCTAAAAAATCTTCAGCACATTTATTGATATAAAATTTTCACATAATTTAAAGCCGCACAGTTCAAACACACATTGCTCAAGAATCATTGTGTATTATGTTATTAAAAAAAGCCTTATGAAGTTACACTTCTTCTTTTCGTTTTATATGGAAGTGCTATATAAACTACATTTTTATCTTATTTTTTTAATTTCAAAACTATTTTTATGGGAGCAAATAATAAATAAAAAATAAAGACCCAGAAAATTTATTCATGCTATTTGTGAAATGAATTTAAGTACAAATTTTTCTAAAAATAAATGATTAAATTAAAGCTCAAAATAAATCAGAATTTTTTTATATATGAAAATAAACAAAATTGTATAGTAAATATATTATATTGTTAAACATAATTTTAATTAAAATATTTTTGGAAAATTTTTAGGTCCTAATAAAAGATTTAGTGCTGAAAAGAAGTCACTGGATTGGGTTGGCTGCTCGAACTGACACCAAAATATTTTTCCATTATGTCATCCATTATGGTGGGAATTACTCAGTTCAAGTCCAAACTGATGCACCAAATTCTATACCTACTGATCCTGTCTTTTTCACTGCTCCTCCTTTGCCTGTCGTGCCCCAAGTGAAAGCATTACGAGAAAAAAATGGTACTATTTATGTTACATGGCAAGAAGTGAAATGGCCAAAGGATTTGAAAGATCACAAGTAAAAATATGTTTTTTTTTACTTACTCTAAACAAAATATATGTATAATTTTAAACTATTTGAAAGGCAGTCTGATGTGATTAGGAAGAAATGGATTAATTGTTAAATTCTTAGGCAGTTGTGCACTCTTCATTTTCTTATGGAATTCAGGTGAAATAAATATATTTATGTCTGCAGCTCCACTTTTGGTACAAATGGGCATGCTTCTTGACTATAGTCTGTTTACTCTTGGGCCCAGGTGTAGGGCTCTAAGGTCATTTGTAGTTCCTTATAATCCTGCTTTTCCCTTCCTATACCATGGGGTGAAGTGGGCCAGAAATGCCCCTAAAACAACAAACACTGTGAGTGCCACCATAGACTGTCTTAACCTGTCCTTGTCCATAATCAGGCTTAGTCCAGCTCTGTCAGGTATATGGAGTTACATTTAATAAACTTTTCACAAATTGAAAAACTTATCAGATTAACATTTTTAACTTAAGGTGTTTCCATCCTAAGTATTTGGTTGTCAGAAAAACATGACTTATTTTTTCTGTGTTTTTCAAATGTTACTTATTTACATAACGAACAAAGATTAATCAGTTATGTTCTGCCCATTTGTTTGAAAACCTTTTACCACCTTTTAATAAGTTAATTCCTCATTCGTTGAAATACCTATGATTATCACCAAAAAACTTACAGAAGTGCTGATTTACAGCATCAGCATAGCAGTTGAACATTGTACCGTACCAAAGAGTTTAGAAGGAACTGAGTCAAGTGAAAGTCAGACAGTGCAAGGTAAGGTGAACATTGTGGGTGTTAAAACACATCCCATCCAAGTCCGATAATTTTTAATAGATTATGAGGCTTGTATGTGATCCTGTATTGTCATGATGGAGCACAAATCTTTTACAATTAAAACTGTTCACATTGCAATTGATTGTTTGATGCCTTGGTAGGAGTTTGAATTGCCTTTCAGCATCAGGAAACTCCTCTGTAGTCAAGAAACCTTTATTTCTGTTTTGAAGAATGCTGGCATGGTTTTTCCTAAATCTCAAACACCAAATCGGTCTTGTCCACGATGAATATGCTGCTGTTTAAAATGCTGTGAACTTCATTGATTCCAGTCATTGTTTTTATTGGTTTTCTTTGTTTGTTAAGTGCTTCTTTTGGTAGAACACTGGATCTCTTGGTTGAGCTTAACTAGAACACTGGATCTCTTGGTTGAGCTTAACTAGAACACTGGATCTCTTGGTTGAGCTTATCTTCAGTTGAAAGTTCTGTTAATCAATCAGGATCATTGAACCATAGATATCAGTGGAATCCTATTTATGGAAAGAAATATACACAAGAACTAAATCTGTTTAATTCTCATGGGTTTAGGATCAGTTAATGGAACAGAGTGCCTACAATTTTGCTCATAACAAAGATTTCTCCTTAAATTCAAATTAAAGACGGGGGGGGGGGGGACTAAATTTATAATTCCGTTAGTATGTGTGGAAGCTGAGCTGTACAGTCTTGTATAATAAAATATGCCTGATATCCGGGATCTTGCAGCACATGACACAGTTGATATATTTCTGACACAATATATTCATGATACAGTTGATATATTTGAAACACTGACTGCTGCTTTACAAAGTAACTCCTCTTTAATTACAGCTAAATTCGTTTGCAAATCTTCTTTTCTTAATTGAGCCATTCCAAACGGTTGCTGCTGGTTTTCACTAGCAATAACTGAAGTTTAAGACATAGCTACTTCCCTTGGAATAAAGGGGCAGGATTGAACCGAAAGAATGTTTGATATTCTAGTGCTTTGATTAATTATGCCTGATTGGCATTCGTTCAACAATGCAAAAGATTTGTGTTTCTTTTGGCACTTAAACAATTTTACGTATTGGTTGAAAAGTTCATAGATAAACAGTATTACACTTTACAGAATTGATCTTTTCCTGCAGCAATATAGTGTTAAATTTAGAGCATTTGATTAATTCAATGCTTTTACATATTGAGCATTGATGGTTTGTCTCTTATCGCTAATAATTTGAATACATTTAGATTTTTCTAATGTTACACTTGAGTTTGTAAGGATGATAACAATTTGTTTAAAGTACCCAATTCATGATATGATATGAGGGACGCAACCCGACCCTCCTGGCAGACTTTATGTCGCCCTAGGGCCTTTTTTGTGGGCTGCACCAGAGCAAGCTAGAAACAACACCCAATTCATCTCATTTCATTTCTCTTGCCCTCCAGCGTCTTATAGATTTGTCTAATTTTTTTATAAGAATAGGCACCGTCATGGTTTCACTCAAGCCTTTAAATTTATAATGTAGCGTTTCTAAAGGTCACTCATATTCGTTAATAGTTGGTCGTTTTAAAAATTTCCTAATGAGTGCATTCACTAATTTCCTTTACTGAAATATCTGTCTCCAAGTAACTGCTGAGCAATTTCAAAATTTACATAAAAAATAATTATTGAATGTGTAATTTTTAGGCGTCACTTTTGCAATTAGCCTTTAAATACTGTAATGTCAAAACATTAAAAATGCTTTCATTTTCATATACACTTGACATAAATGTTAACTACTACTCAGTTTTGCCTAAGAAGATTTGAAGAGAAGAATAGGTTATTTTATCTCTGCATTATTAGAATTTAAATGTTAACATTTTCTCATTAATTCTGAAAGTAATGTAATCATAAGGAAAATTCACCAATAGTATCTTAAAGAAATTTCACTGTAGAAGTAAATTAATCTAATTCACCTATACACCTCTCAACAGTCAAATCAAAAATTGTTTTTAATTCTTCTTATAGTAGTTAATTAGTTATTTTTTTAATTATATTTCTTTTAAATTGGTATTTTTAAAATAAAATAAATGCTGCTAAAAATTATCCAAAGTATACAGTAAATATTAGTGTTCACTTTTTGACACAAATGTTTCAGCTTTACTGGATCAAAATATGTTGGAACCAGAGAATTTGCAGTGGGGACTTTTCATGCCTCACATACAGTAAAATCAATATTTGCCATTAAAACTATCATTATTAAATGCACGTTTAATTTTTAATCCATAATTTTGATGAATAAGTTTTTCTAGTTTGTAAGTAGTTCATCTTTTTTTGCATGTAACAGCAGAAAAAAGATGAAAGTTTAAAAACAAAATTACAATGATAAATTAACATCGCTGAGTTTGACTTCATGCAGCACGTTCTGCATTTTAATAATAGTAAGTTATTTTGCACAAAATTTCCCAAATTACTATAATTTGGTAAAGTTTCTAACTGATTTTCTTTTTTGTATTTTAGGTTCATTTATAGTGTGTGGTTAAGTGATGACAGAAGTATGGAAAAAGCATATCAGTATAATACAACAAAGCCTCCATTTTTCTTGCACTCCCACCCATTTTCTTGGAGCAAAGTTTACGTAGCAGTGAATGTAATTGATGAACATGGATATCATGGTCCCCTGTCAGATGAATATGACCTTGGAAGTGATGAAAGTAATTTCTTAGTTTATGAATTTTCTTGATGTAAATATTTAAATATTTGTTTTGATATACACTTTTCGACATTGAAAATGCAACACCAAGAAGGAGTGGTCAGAAAGTGATGAAATTTGGAAAAAAGACAGAGACAGCAAGCAGCAATAAGTGATCTTTATTTTAAAATGATAGTCAGAATATAGAGCGAGAACGGCATCAGCTCAGTAGTATGTAGGACCACCGCGGACAGCGATGCACGAAGAAACACGTCTATGCATAGAGTCAATAAGAGTGCAGATGGTGTCCTGAGGGATAGTTCTCCATTCTCTTTCAACCATTTGCCACAGTTCATCTTCTGAATGAGGCAGGGGCAGAGTCTGCAAATGGTGTCCTATCACGTCCCGCACATGTTCGATTGGTGACAGGTCAGGAGAGTACGGTGGCCAGGGAAGCATCTGTATACTTTGCAGAGCATGTTGGCAGCCGTGAGCAGTGTGTGGTCGGGCGTTATCCTGCTAAAAAATTGCATTAGGCAGCCCCTGAAGGTGGGAGATTGCCACTGGCCGCAGTACATTATCCAAGTATTGTTAGGCCATCATAGTGCCCTGAATACGAACTAAAGGTTATCTGGAATCGTAGGCAATAGCGCCCCAAACCATTATGCCACGTTGTCGCACGGTGGGGCGTTCCCTATTTACTGCCAGATTAGATCTGTCTCCACACACGTATGCGGCGACTGTCACTGGATAAACAGAAGCATGACTCATGTGAGAACACGACGTTTCGCCATTCTGTCATCCACATCACTCCAGTTCGGCACCATTCTAAACGTTGCCGTCTATGCTGTGGGGTCAATGGCAGTCTTCTTAATGGACGCCCTGAGTGCAGGCAACGTTCAACCAATTGACAAGAAATGGTTCTGGTCGACACGGGAACATCCAGGGTATCTTGTACATGCTGCAGAATTGCGGGACCGCCACAGCTTGTCGGCGGATGTGTCGTTCCACACATGCTGACGTTGCTCTGGCTGCACTTGCACCTCTCATTCTTCCCACATTTCCTTGTCAACCATGTTCGCCATAGCCGATGCACCATGCTTGCATCCATGTGGGTATCAACTGTGATTTGACATAAGGACCAACCCGCTCTTCTCAGTCCGATCACCATACCCCTCGTAAAACCGTCTATCTAATGGATGGCGGCCTGGCATTCTCTCCTATTACACGTATCCTCCGGAACAAAAACCAACTTTCTTCAATAATTCATCTGGAAGAAATAACGACATGAATATTGCCCATTCTGTACGTTCCTTCCCTTATATCTTACTTCACGTGCATCAGAGAGCTGCGCATTTCACATCATTCGCATAATTCAGTGATGTGCGTCCACTCTAAAATTTGCATAAATTTCTGACCGCTCCTTCTTGGTGTTGCATTTTCAATGTCGAGCAGTGTATATTTATGTATTAAATTATAATACTACCAATAAGTATTTTGACACCCACGCAAATGCTGTTATCTGCGGCCCTGATGTACATCATGCCCTCTGCCATTCAATATCATGTATTAAACAACATTGGCATTAGTCGCATGCAAGATGCTACAATGTGCAGAGTTATCTGATTGCAAAAAAGTTGTAATCATCGGGTGTCACAGAAATGACTGATCCTTAAGGTCCATATCTAGTGAGCTGAAATACCCAAAATCGACAGTGGGCAATGTGATTCAGAAGTGGAAAGTGAGCCGCAATTGTCGGAATCTGCCCCAAGTTGGCGGACCCGTGAAACTGGGAAATAGAGACTGACAGGTTCTGCCCAGAGAAATTTAGAAGAACCTCACCCAACCAATGGTCCACATATTCCAGAAGTTTCAACAGGCATCCAGAAGTGTTGCTTCGATGACCTACCCCTGTAAAGAAGCACACCTGCTTGGTTTTTGTGGCCGTGCTGCCTCCTATAAGCCTTTAATCACAAAGTCCAGCCACTTTGCTTGGTTAATGTGGTGCAACGCACGTCTACAGTGGACTGTAGATTAGTGGAGATGGATTATCTGGAGCGACATATCGAGATTCACCCTCTCCTGGTCAGATGGCAGGGTCTGGAGGTGTTTCTCTTTGTATGGAATGGAATCCTTGTTCCAAATTCATCGTAAGTTCAATGACAATGCCTACTGCATTGTTTTGGATGACAGTGTGCTTCTTACATTGTGGCAATTTTATGGGATGGACTCATGTTACTTTCAAATCAACAGTGGCAGCTATTATGTTGCAAGGTCCACCATGGATTGATATGTAGACAGTGGGATTAACTGAATGGGCTGGCCTGTCAGAACCCAGACATAAACGCTATTGAGATCCTCTGAGACAAGTTGGATCACTGAATTAAGGGGTGCAGCAACCGTCCAACATTTTGGTGAAGGAACTTGCATGCCTTTTGCAAGCTCAGTGGAAGAAAATACCAATAGCCGTCATACGAGGGCTTATGAACGCATTCCCTGCAGGGTCAAGGCTGTGATTTCCACTCATGGAGGCTTTACCAAGTATTGAATATGAATAAATTTTGTTTTCTTTTCTACCATAGGTGTCCAAATACTTATTGGTAGATAATGTATGTACATATATAATATTTAAGAAAGTCCAAAAAGAATTCTTAAAATAAAGTTTTAAAAAGCAAAGAGATGAATCTGTTCAAATGCTGCTAAACCGAAAATTAAAAAATTAAAAAGGAAAAGTCGGAAATAAAATGAAAAATTATAATTTTTTTCTATATGAAATTATCTGGTGAAAGAATTGGTTAGGGCCTTCATAAAGAAGAAATTATCATATTTCATTATAGTTCTAACTTTTCCTTTTTAATTAGATATACAGATGGAGGACAAAATAATACGAACATACAAACACCTGTGAATTAATGGAAAACCCTTTTTAATAGGGGTTGGGCCACCCTCTGACTGAAGTACAGATTGAATGTGACGTGGGATAGATGCATAAATGTCGTGGGCAATATTTAAAGGATTATTAAGCCATTCCTCCTGCAGAGCGGTCTGTAATTCCAAAAGTCTGGATGGAGGTGGAAATCGGGAACGAAGTTTGAACTCGAAATATGCCCATAAATGTTCAATAATATTCAAGTCCAGAGACTGAGGGGGCCAAGAGAGATGTTCAATTGCATCAACATGCTCTTCGAACCATTCTTGAATACACCTAGCAGTGTGGATAGGGGCGTTGTCATCTTGAAAAATTGTTCGCTCCCCAGGGAATACAGTCTGGACATGATCCCCTAGAATGTTTAGATAGTGATTGGATGTGATCCTCCTATGTAGAAGTGGCCCAAGACTGCGTCAAGATATTGCGCCCCATACCATAATGGCGCCACCCCTTTGCTTCACAATCGGCGAGAGGCAGTTGGGATGAAACGCTTCTTTGGGCGTTCTCCAGACATAAACGTGTCTGGTTGTCTGAATGGGATGAATGACGATTCATCTGACCATATTACCTGTTGCCACTGCCTTGGTGATCTCTGCACTATTGGTGTCGCTTGCTTTCACCAACGGTTTACAAATTGCCACTCTGCCATAAATGTTCGCAGCATGAAGTTCCCTTTTGACAGTTTTTGTTGAAATGGGGTCCTGCAGATGCCTATTCATTTTGGATGTTATCTCGGATAATGATTGCTTGTGCTTTTGGGCTACTATGCGCTTCAAGACCGTCTATCCCTATCAGCCAGTTTTGACTTTCAGCAACTGTTGTGCTTTGAAGACGTTGTCGTACCCTCTTTTGTGTACGCTGTCATAACGGCTGATACCGTACTCCTTGCACACCCCACAAGGTATGCTGTTTCCATAACCGATGCTCTACTTAAACGAGTTCCAACTATCATTCCTCTGTATAACTCTGACAGGTCTGACATTTCAACTCTTCACCAGCAGTTGGATCGAAGCATGCAACGCAGTTGATTGCTGTTGAAAGACTGATACCTTCCTCTTCACACTCATTAGGTGACAGACTTCTTTTGCAGGTGGTGCGGCTGTACTGCAGATGTGAAATACATCATACTTTTTCACAGGTGTTCGCATTATTTTGTCCTCCGTCTGTATATATATATATATATATATACACACACATACATACTTATATACACACACACAGATGCTGCTGCCAAATTCAACCAACAAATTCAGAGAGGTGATTGTAAGTACCAAGAGGATGAGAAATTACCATAGAACATGGGGTGGGGTTGCAAATCGCATTTAGTCGGTGAAAATTGCAAAAAAAAAAAATAGAGTAAAAGGGGTGGGTAACATTTTTCGTCATTGAGCCAAATGAAATTTTTCGTATTGTGACACAGGCCAGATTAGATTAAAGAATTTCATTTTTTAAAGCATATACCCACCATTAAATTGAAAAAAAAGATTGAAGAATTTAATGAAATAGAATAAACAAAAAAATTAATTAATAGGTATACCAAATTCTCAATGTATTTAAAACTAAAAATGAAATATTTACTTGAAATCGGTTATACATAGTAGAAACAAGAAAAGAATTTTAAGAAAAATTAAACGAGGAATAAAAAATTTAGTGAGGATGATTAAAATTAGTATGTTCGTGATCAATAATTTCTTCGAAATTTAGATTCAAATCACTCATGGCTCTTCTTGAAACAGCTCCTAAATTTTCTTCTGTAATTCATGATCTTGTTTTGCTTTTGTATTTTTTATTAAAGAAAATGTAGCTTCACACAGGTGGGTAGATCCAAAAAATGCTAAATATTTTTTAACATTTCATGTTTTAATGAATCATAAAATTCTGTTTCCATTTTTATTCTGCAAATTGGTTTTTAAGTATCAGACAAATTTATCAGACTAATGAAAAATTTTCTGATAAACTGATAAAGTAACTGATTTCTAAATCTTTTGAAAATTGTCAATTCTTATAAATTCATTGTACAAGTCACTATAGCTTCATACTTCTTGAAATCACTACCTTTCAAGCATTTCTCTCTTCCTTGCAAAATGGGAAAAATGTGTTAACTGTTTACTTGGAAATTGCAAAAATAGTTTTAGTCTAGTGGTTTATGATGTGGCATTAGTAAACATATCACTGGAGAAGAAAAAATCTTTCAGCCAATGTTCATCTTGTAGTTCATAGCATCTTAGCACATAAGAAGTTAATAATTTCAGCTAACAATTCATAGAATTGCTTTAGCATTTTTGCAAGACTAAGCCACTGTATTTCCATGTGGTAAGGAGTACAGTACAAGGTCTTTGATCCGTACCTCAAAGCTACAAACTTTCTGTGCATGCGTAGTGTTAACGCATGTGCATAAAACCTTTACGCATGCGTGTTTAATATATAACGGACGGTATAAGCTAGGCTAAAATTATCTAATTATCTATTTCAGTTAATGTTGCAGATTGCATTGTTCCTTAATCTTCTAATTGGATACGGCTTATTATTTTTTGCAGACTGATAGAGCAATTTTATAAAAAGTAAGCTTGAACTTTCGATTATGTCAAAAAGAGTTTCAGATTCTAGAACTGACAAAGGATCTACAAAGTGAAAGCATGTTTCAATGTCCATCAAACAAAAAGTGGAATTGCTGCAAAAAATGGATAAAGGCATGAAGAAAGTGACAGAGAGGTTAGTGAAAACGAAAAAATTTCGATTGATAAGTTAGTCGGTATTCTCGGCACAGCAATTACAGGGCTTGAACAGCGGAACTTTGTAACTGAACAAGAAATTGTGTCTGTTTATAGAATTAAAGAGAAAGTATTAGCACAAAATTTTGATAATTTGATACCCTTTTGATCATAATCGCTGTTTATTTCATAAATTATGGTTTTGTATTTTTAATTTTATCATTTCTGCATGCCATCTTACCAGATTTAAATTGATGATCTATAATCCGGAAGCGCCGAAGTTCCGACGAGATCGGATTAAAGACTTTGTACTGTATCAGTAAACACGCAGTCAATGTCTTGCAAAAATATAACAAATTGTCGCTGTTTTAAAACTCTTCCACAAATAAAATTAACCGTCTTCATTACCAGGGCTGATCCTAGTGGGGGGGGCAAGGTAGTGCATAGCACATGGCCAGCTAAAATGGTTATCAAGCATAATATATTTCTGTAAAGAAGGGCGGCAAGTATAAATTTGCTCATGGGCAGCCAACGGTCTAAGATCGGTACTGTTCGTTACAACCAATATTGCATGTTAAGTTTTAAAACTCTTTTATAAAGGGTTCCTGATGAATAATACAATGTAGGAATCTTTCCTGGAATCTTCTTTATTTTGTCGCTTATTCTTTTTTAACAATCCAATGTTTTTCACTGTCAAATTAGGACATCCATCAGTTCTGATATTAACAGTTTTTTTCCTATTTTATATTGTATTTCTGCAATATTTCTTGAAGAGCAATAAAAAAAATCTTCCGTAGTCACTGTGTCTTTCATTGGCTATATAGAAAGTAATTCTTCTGTTATTTTAAATTTGATTTACACCTGGAATAAGTATTATAAGTTTTAGTAGTACTGTTAATGTTATGTGACTCATCTAAAGCCAGTGCATGGTAAGAGGAATTTTCCAATTTTAATTTTAATTGGCCACATAAATTTGAAATATTACAAATTCACCTCACAAGGTTTCTTTATGACAAAGACATTTTTTTCAAATGTTTGTTTCTTATCAGGGCATAATAATTCAACAATATCTATCAAACATGCCTTCACAAATTCACTGTCAGAACAAGATTTGCATTGCTTTGCAACCTTATGTGCAACAATGTAACTAGCTTTTATAAGAACTCTATATTTGCAATTAAATATTTAAATGTCCAATTATCCTTAAAAATGCAGCATTCCACATCAGTTTCCCCCTTACCCTGTTTTTTTAAATTGCTCATCTTATGAGCTAGAAATTATATTTTCAATTAAAAACTATAATTATAAAACGTGTAGTCACTTACATTGTTTTTTAATAAACGTTGATTGTTAGCTAAACTTAGTTTGATCAATGGTTTAATAACAATTAAGAAACAGAGATATTCTTTGATAACCAATTGCACTGAATGCAGCTATCAGTTTCATCACAACAATGGCGATTATCCTATAACTCAAGTAATCAAAGCTCAGCAATTAAATGATGCACAGAATGCTTTCCTTCCTGTATCTCATTATGATGTGCGCTAAATGTACAATTTTTGTTGTTTCCTTCAATGTCTGTTCCTTCAATTTGCATTGAGTTTGTGTTTTCTAATTTAAAAGGAAATCATAAATTGAAATGTAGTGAGAATAAAATCAGGATTATGTCACAAAATGCACTAAATTCAAATATTGGATTGTTTGTGTTTTCTAATTTCAAAGGAAATGATAAATTCAAATGTAAAACTTGTGTATAAAATCAGGATAACATTTATCGCAAAATGTTTGCATTCATATGCAAAATTTTACACTACTGTCAGTTCAGTTTAGTTCAATGATGGTGAAGCAGGCATCCAACTGATAGGAGTTTTAACCTGCAAAGAAAAAAGCTTGAAAGCTTTTGGTGGTGTTTAAAAAATAAGCACTATTGTGCTTCTGATATAAAATTTGGAAAACAGACAAGCATGTGCCACCATCTTGGCATTGGCAAGACAGTGAGTTTTACCCTTAGACCTTTAGGAAGGAAAAAAATTGAAAAATTTCCTTCTATTAATATAAAATTCAGTGAATGCATGGATGCATAACTTTTTCATTTTGGGCAAATTCGTTTCGGTAAAATACAATACTGTCAGTTATTTGTACCAAGTGTGATAAAAAAAACTCTTAAAATAGTGCTAATCTCACTTAAAAAATTTTAATTGGTAACAGTTTCAAAATTATTCAAAATATTCTATATTTTATGCATTTATCTGAGGGGTAACCTAGAATATCACAAGATGTTAAAATGAACTTTTCAGTTCCCCCGCCTCCTTCATTGTGTTTAGGAGTAATGCTAACCAGACTTGATAGAAAGCACTACACCGCAACCACCAAATTTATTCAAAAAGGGCTTTAAATGTTCTAAAAGCATCTGGAATGTTCTGAAAACTTCTACATATGTTTTTCTACCACCATCTCTTAAATGGTTAGACATTCTCTCTTCAAGCATTCAGAGTGGCTGAACCTGTTGGTCATTTAGCCATCTCATCAGTAAGAGTGTTATCCCTGTTAAAATCACTATTAAAATGTAGTATCATCTGTTATAATCTTGTTTATAATCCAAATAACATTTTTTTTTTTTTTTACTTCATGCATTAAATGGAAACTATATGTTATTCCAGTATTAAAATTTCTAAGCAACATTGAATTCAATTTCAGGTTATGCTGCTGTTGTTTTGACTCAGACTAGTCTTGTTGGTGTCATTGTTGGTGTAACTGTGGTATTTATATTACTTGTCGGCACATTAGGAGTTTTTGTTGTACGTCATCGACGTCTGCAAAGGAGCTTCTTATCTTTCGCAAATAGCCATTATGACACTAGATCGGGAGCTGCTACCTTTTCTACTGGAGAAGAATTAGGTAAGTGGCTTTAAATAAAATGATAATAAATATCTTGAATAATAATAATTTGTTTTTAATATTTAAAAAAAAGTTCAGACAAGAATTGGATATCCTTTTCACAAAATCCCAGATCCAAAAAATTTCAGAACAAAATCCCAGATCGAGAATTCTTGATTGTGGCGATTCTGGATTTCAGAAATTTCCAGATTTTAAATCATCAGTTTAATTCTAGGAAAATGAAAAATTATCACACTAAAAATATTCTTTTTTAATATTTCTTTTAAGAAAGTTTTATTTTGTATAAAGAAAGTTACCTTTTTTTTTTTTTTTTTTTTTTTTTCTAACTTTTCTTAATAATTACCACTTGAAATTAAAATGTGACTTGGCAATATTAACTCAGCTTCAAAATATATTACAGGTATTCACCATTCCATTATTTGATTGATATTTAATGTCATCATGGTGTAAGACCTCAGTTATATCATCTTAGCATTTCTTCTCATATTCCATGATTCAGAAATTTTCTTTTTCTTACTATAACCGAAAACTTGCAGATTTGCAGCTCTCATTATCATTATAAATTTGTTAGCTGACAATAAATTATGCTAGGCATTTTAAAAAATATTACTAGACACAACTTTTAATGACCTTGCAATGCCCCACACATCAGATTTTATATTAAATTATTTTTTGAATTCTTGGATGGTTTTACTGTGGCATTGGTTTTTAAAAAGTTACTTTAGGTGTATAGTTTCATAGAAAAGTAAAATGGAGATGCTATCATTTACTAAAACTGTAATTTTGGTAAGATTAATAATAAAACATTGAGAAAAATAATAAGCTACTTCAAATCAGAAAGTTAATTCAAAATAATTCTTTGATTCTTTTTCCCTTCCCTACTGCTATGCCAACAAAAGAAAACTAGTATGAACAGCAACCCACTCCATATAAATATGTCAGGGGACTTCACTTATTGTTTGGATTGGATAGAAAAATGCTACCTTGTGGTAATGGCTAACATCAGTTCAATGTCAATCGTGTATTCTCATTTGACAGGGTGTGATTCCCTAACCCACAGTTGCCAGAAAGTGACATACAAAACTCTAAAACCCTTATCACATACGATATTTGTTGCCGGAACAAAACGTTTGCAGCAACAGTTCTGAGAAACGCCCTTTGGCGAAATAGGGTTACCATCTTCACTTGGTAAACAGGCTGAAAGCCAAACAAGAATCAGTTATCGCTCAGATTGGCGAAAGTGACGTTTCCTTTCAAGTGACTTCGCTTCTTCGTGTTGTTTTGAATCGCTCACACGCTTTTCGTTTTAAACTTTATTGTTAGTAATGGAAGATAATAGAAAGGTGATTGCTATCAAGTTAATCACTTGATCTCCACTCTGGCACTTCATGTAACAGATAAACACACTTCTGGTTATAGCAATCAGTTACATCAGTGATAGCCAAATTCTGTATACACTAAGAATAGTTTAAAAACGCGTGCTGGATAAGTCTATTTATCACACATCGCTTATGTGTATTTTCTGTTGTCTGCATTTCAATGAAAATTTGATGGCTCACTGGAAAATTTGTGACCTGGTGAAAGCATTTTCTGACTAACTTTATGGCTCATAATTACTGTTCTGTCCATTCAAACAACAAAAAAAAAAAAAAAAAAAAAAAAAAAAAAAAAACCTTCTATAAGAAAAATCTATATGGCTGATATTTACCTCCTCACAGCCAGCAGATACTATTCAGCAAAATGAAGATCAAATAAAGCATATGAATACATGAGCAATCAAACTTGTGCAAATTGTTTACCGTCCCATAGAACGCTTGGTAATATACCTAAAACACATTAATTATACCAACTCTAGAAATTAGGTGTTCACATCATGAGTTTGTTTTATGGTTTGGTTTATTCAGATTACAGCAAAGCACACTAGGGCTATCTGCCTAAGGGAAGGGATGCCTTCGTGAGGACTTTCTAAGGGAAACTGGCTCGTATACACATTACACATGGGGAAAACCACGAAAACGCCCATGCAGCCATGCCGTTCGCGGGATTCGAACCTCGGACCTAACTACCAGTGTTCAGCGACTTTACCGCTCAGCCGCTGGTGGACTCAGTTTGTTTTATGTGATTATCGCAAAGCCTCGAGGGATAACAACAGGAGGGATCCCTTTGTAGAAGATTTTTTTTAAGTGGCTCGTATACCAGTTACAAATGGGAAAAACCAAGAAATTGCCCATGTAGCCAGCTCGTATGCGGCATTCTAACCTGAGACAGAACTACCAGTGTTCAACGACGCTTCGGCCACTAATAGGCCCGTGCACTTAATTGGAAAGTACAATTCATTATGTAAACAGATATGAAGGTGATAATCAGTTGTGCACTGTTTTATGTAATCAAATCTTATAAATGCACAGCTGTTACATTTCTTATTATTTATTAGTCATGTTTATATTACGTAGATCATACATATGATATAATTATGAATTAAACCAATAACAAAATGTGTACACTCTTTAGTCCTTAAATGCTGCTCATTTAGTTTTCAACTGATTATTACATATCCATAATAATTTGGAAAGAACTGATGACTACAGTTGCTGCCAATTACAGGATCGTTATGTGAATTAAAAGTAACTTCAAGTAAACCTTTTCCCAATGTTCATTTTTGTATTCATACATACATATATATACACATCTAATAAGTCATATATTTACATATACACATCTAATAAGTCATATATTTACATACAGATAGAGAGATGCGATGGTTTAGAAGTTGTTAATATATATTTATTAGTATTAATGTAATGAATAAGATTTATATTAATGAATGTATATACAAATGTTTTTCATCATGAATAATAATAAATCCACAAATTTCCAATGTTTCAATCTGCAGCATTTACAATAAAAGTATAGTTTCTAATGTATTTATAATCCAAAAAGTATTTCATTAATAACATGTAAATAATAGACAACTTTAATGAGTATTCTCATTATTACATAAACTATGCTTTTCTTTTTTTATTTTTTATACATCTTTTATGCTGTTTAAAATGTGTCACTGATTATGCAATTAACAATTTAAAAGATAAGTAATTAGGAGAAAAGCCATGCATATATAAACGGATTTTGAAAAATTATTCAACTTAAATTTAAGAAATAAAATTCTATTATATAAGTGATAATACACGATCGGCACGAAATACGACAAAGTTGGCGAACTTTTGGCGATGAACAATTTGTAAACAAATCCGAACTGCAAGAACGTCGTGAAATACTGTCAACATTGAAATTTCCATGATTATATATTTAATGAATATATAAACATTTTAAAAATGACGCAGGCACTTATATTATTACAACAAAACAACAATAATTAAATCGGCCTCTATTTCCATCGTCCATGACTTCACAGTGAGAGTCACCGCCGTATTGAAAGTTGCCCGTGATCCTTCAGAAGCAGAACTTTCGTCTGATTGGTTGAATGTTCGAGGAACACGTCTCCAGCCGGAACATTTTCGGAAAAGTTTTAAAATGTTGATCGTAGCCGGGAGATGTTCCTCCTATCTAGACAAAACATTTCTCGGGAGCCTGCTGCTTAAAGCCGTGATACTAGAATCTCGTTTGTCGGAATTGTCCCGGGTAAGCGCGCGCGTCCATAAAAGTGATAGGGCCATAAATCACCCAGAGGGGAAGTGCTTTTATAGCATACCTGTTTTTTTCTCAAGTATTACCTTCTTCATTCTTAGACTTCATAAGGAAAAAATGTTTTAAATGGTCTGGGTATTGAGTGTGCAAATTTTAAACTTTATATGTGTGTGTGTATATATGAGAGTTGGAACTTTAATAGTGGCAACACAGCTGAAAAAGCGCTACGCAACAAAACCAAAGAATATCGCGTATACCACATGTGAACTACATACCTACCTTACCTCTCAGCAAAAAGACTCGTCCTTCCTACGTCACGCGCATGCGGAGTGACGCGAAGAACGGATCCTTGTATTAGCTCGCGGTCTAAAGTAAGTGTTGTCAGGATGTTTTCAAAACTAGAACAATGATGTTGGATAAAAATTGAATGTGCCAGAGGTCGTACAGCACGACAGTGTCTTCAAGAGGCTTGTGGGGAATCTGCATTGCCTTACAGAACCGTATCAAGATGGGTGAAAGCATTCAATGAAGGACTCTAAAACGTGGCAGACATGCTGCGGCCAGGCCGCTCGAGTGTCAGCGATGCAGATGTGCAAGCTGTTGCCGCACTAATGGACAGTGATTGCCGCCAAACGATTCATCAGCTGGCCGGACAAAACAGGATTAGCGGATACGACTGTGCTGCACATTCTGAAGGAATGCCTGTCCATGAGAAAAATTGCTTCACAATGGTTTCAACATCAATTGACGGAAATGCAGAAATGGCTACGATACGATGCTGCCCGAACCCACCTGGAGTGCTATGAGCGCGAAGTAGATGCTTTTTTACGTTGGATGAGACTTGGGCCCGATTGTGCCTGCCAGAACTGAAATGCCAATCAAACGAATGGCGTCATCACGGGTCACCACGACGTTCGAAATTTCATCAGAACCCCAGCAATGTGAAAGTTATGGTGATTCTCGTGTACGACTGTGATGGTGTCATCCTAATGCATACCGTTTCCCCACAGCAGACCGTCACTGCGCAGTATTACTGCTCATTTTTGGAGCACAATCTCTAACCAGCTTTGAGAAAAAAACGGCGACACTTTCTGCAGAACGCTCCTCTCATTTTGCATGACAATGCTCGGCCGCATGCAGCGCAAGCTGTGACTGATTTGTTCAAGCGATGGCGCTGGGAAGTGCTTTACCATCCACCATACTCCCCAGATCTAAGCCCTTGTGACTATGACTTAATTCCTAAGATGAAGGAACCACTTCGTGGCACTCGCTTCCAAACTGTTCCTGAGATTCTTGCGGCAATAGACCGGTCAATTCAAACTATCAACAAAAAAGGCACTGCTACAGGTATTCTGTGACTCCACATCGTTGGAAACAGGTTGTACACAATGCTGGCGACTATATTGAAGGACTGTAAAACATGGTGAGATGAATCACTTTTGTATGCCTTGTAAATAAATAGTTGCCACTATTAAAGTTCCAACCCTCGTATATATATGTGTGTGTGTGTGTAAAATCTAAAAAATAGGATGGCTTTGCTCTTTGCGAACCAGCAACCTTTAATGAACTTTCTGCAATTCAGGATCTTCTCCCTAGACTAGTACTTTCCAGAACATTCGTGCCTATTATGTAACTGCTACTATAAATAACGAATGTGCGGCATTTTGCGGACAGAAGCTTCCCTCTCCCTGTGCTGTTAAAATCTACACTGCTGATCCCATCTTCCTTTCCTCTATGATGCAGTAAATTTAAAATAATCTTATTTAGTAACGAATATTGATCTGCTTCTGAAGTTGAAATAAAGATATGAAATATTAAAAAGTGAAATCATGTGTCTTCTTTGGTTACTTCTCTAATACTCTGCTACAGAAATGCCTGGACATTACGCCAAGCTTCTTCACAACTGCTGGAAAATATCACGCATATATAAGTATGTATGAGAATTTAGTATTTTCTGCGAATTGCTTATTTGCTGATCCATAAATTTATGAATTAATAATACCCATCTCACAAGTTTTTTTAAAAAGCAGTGAGTACAAAGTTGAATAGCCAGACTAGTCAGAACTTCGGCAAGTCCAGATTTTGGAATTTTGCAGATTTTAGATCATCACTTCAAATCTAGTAAGAAGACATATAGAAATTATTAAAGTAAAATACTTAATTGTTGTTTGTGAAATATTGTAGCATTTATGACCTTAAGAGAATCAAAATTTACTTTTACTTATTTGAGTTTAAAAAAAATTTAATATTTACTTATTTGAGTTGGTAAACAATATTATATTTAATTTTTTAGCTACACATAATTTCTTGTTCAGTTACAAAGTTTCATCATTCAAGTTCTCTAATTGCCATGTCGAGAATTCCCTTTGAATTGTCAACAATTTTTTTTTAATTCTCAACAGCCTCTCTGTCACTTTCTTATTGCTGTAAGTAGTCATTATTAGGACTTGATCATGTTGGAAAACTTCTGTTATATCATCTTCATTCACTTGTTGTTTGCCATATCCCAAAACCTTCAAATTTGCTGCTGTCATCATAAAGCTTAGCTAACGTCTGCTGTACATTATTAGCAATATACCATGAGATTGCTGACTGAAGGCATGTCGTTTAGCTATAGTTTGTCGTGCTTTTATCACCTGTTGAGAAAGTTAAACCTGAATTATATTAGTTTAGTTAGTTTAGTTGCATCTCTTTCCTGTATATGCTTAAGGCTTGTACAAGACCCAAAGAAATAAATTCTATCATATAGTTAAGCTTATCTCAACAACAAATCAATTATTAATTCAAACAGCTCTAAATGTAATATTTTGGTCTATGAATGTTATTTACAATATTACAATTTGCAATTTTATTTTGGATATGGAATGAAATTTCTCTTTGGCAACTCTTCACAGATTAGTTGACAGAAATCTGTATTCATCACCAACATAAAAGGGTACATCCAGTTTGGTATTCGGTTACTAATATTACTTGAAAATTGTTTTAAGCATTGCTCCCTCAGTCATTTCTCAAGTTGCTATGAGTTGATAGTCCATGTGATGATTAAAGCAAAAAATAATAAAAATGATTCACCAGACTGATGTTAGGGTTAGAAAATATTCAGTAGGCATAAAATCAGCTGTGAACTTCAGTAAAATGTTAGTTCAAGCAAAAAGGTGGATGTACAACTAAATTATTGATCCTACATATTTATTCTGATAAATTATTGTGTTTCTTCAACACGAGGGTGTTTTATTTAGTGCTGAAATAAAATTGAGAATTGGGACCTTCCACGTGCTTTATCAAAATGCATACAGCACATGTGTGAAGCAGTAAATACGCTGAGACAAGATACTATTATCAAAATACAATTCTTTCTTTTTCACAAAAAAATTCTAAAAATCATTTTTTCTTGGTCCAGAAGTCTTAAGTATTAAACATCTGTACTTATTTGTTTTAATTTCACAACCAACAGAATGTAGCTGTAATTAATCAAGCCCAATCAAAAAGAAAAATACCTTGAGGAAAACGATATGAGTATCATTCCCTATATCTGAATATTAATTATTATAAATAAATGTGTAGGATTATGTAACAAAACAAACATAAAACTCAGACCCTTTTGTGACTTAACAATGTTTATTGTGATCTATTGCTGGATTACAGTTCACACTTTGGGAACCACATAGACTATTACAGTCAAAAGTCGTTAATTTGGACACCCATAATTCGGAATGATCTATAATCCGGACCTCAAAGCTAAAAACTTTCTGCGCATGCGCTGCATTGACACATGCGCATAGGTGTTTACGCGTGCGCGTAAGACCTCTTACTACTGCGCATTTGCGTGTGCGCAAGCGCAGAATACGTTTTCGTGTGCGCGTTTTATGTATAACAGACGGTGTAAGCTAAAATTATCTAATTATCTATTTCAGTTAATGTTGATGATTGCGTTGTTCCCTAATTTTCGAATTGGATCCGGCTTATTATTTTTTGCAGACTGTAAGAGCAATACTATAAAAGTAAACTTGAACTTATGTCAAATAGAATTTTTGATTCTGGAGCTCCCAAAGGATCGTACAAAACGAAAGTATGTTTCGATGTCCATCAAACAAAAAAGTGAAATTGCTGAAAAAAAAGGATGAAGACATGAAGAATGTGACAGAGAGGTTAGTGAAAACGAAAAAATTTCGATTGACAAGTTAGTCGGTATTCTCGGCACAGCAATTAACAGGACTTGAACAGTGGAACTTTGAAAGTGAATAAAAAATTATGTCTGTTTATAGAATTAAAGAGAAAGTATTATCACATAAAAGAAGAAACTTAAACAACTTACATTGAAAGAAATGTTTAATAAAGTAAACAAATAAATATTAAGCTTTTTTTGTAAATTTTGATACCCTTTAGATCATAATTGTTCTTTATTTCATAAATTATGGTTTCATATTTTTAATTTTAGAATTTCTGCATGCCATCTTACGCGATTTAAACTGATGATCTATAATCCGGAAAAATCGATAATCCGGAATCGCCAAAGTCCCGACGAGTCCGGATTAACGACTTTTGACTGTATACATTTTCATGTTTCAGTCAAGAATTATCTGCTAATGAAGTTTGGAAGCGAGATGATTTACAACTAATTTAATCATAAAAACAAATAATTGGAAAAATATTAATATTTGAAATCAACTGAAGAAAGTGTTATTACTTTAATTAATCCTAATGTACATTAATGTGGAATTTTCTAGCAATTCTAAAGAAGTCTTTCTCTGCTCTAGGCAAATCCAGCTGTCCAATTATCCTCCAATTTGTTATCATCATCAACAGTCAACCCTGTAAATAATATTATCTTCTGTTTCATCTATAGCATTACTGATACAAATTTTTTTAATGATGAGAGAATCATGTTTGGCTTATTTTTCAAATGGATGAGGACTTCACATTCATCTTCAGTTCGTCTGATAAATCTTGCTAAGTTAGGTGACCAGTTGTTTGAATTTCTGGTTATTTATAGAGCTTTTGGCTTTTTCAGCTGCAGTTGCAATTGAAGAAGGTAATAATGTTCAATCACTGAATGAATTCTTACTGAAATAAAATCTAGTACAATAAGTATTATTGTTCTTGCTCCCACATTATATTGTTCGATTCTTAGTGTGAGTAAATTTGCCTTATAGTACATAGGTTTTCAGTTTTAGGCTGAATTCATACTTCAGCTTATACATGAATTTGTTTATATTCAGAAATTTATGGTAATTCTAAATAAGTGACTGATACATAGAATTATGGAAATATGTCGACTATTAAGAGAAGTTAATCAGATTTTTCTGGATATTGTAAATTGTATTTGTTTTGCGCTCTCCATCCCCACCACCACCAAAATCACCTAAACAAGAACAAAAATCTTAAGAGGTACTGTAAAATATCGTCGTCTAACTGCTAACACCCTATTACTGTTCAATATGAAATGATGACTGTGAATAACCGGTCTTCAACTTAAGTGACCTATATGAACTTCAAATGAAAACTTCAGAATAATGCAATATTTAAGCATTATTGATATGAGAGATTTCTATATCCCTTAAGTAAATGGCTGTGTAGTTGTATTAAAATTATTTCGTTGACTGTTAAAAATAGTTATTGACAGTGCTTAAATAAATTTAAGGAACTTTTTCATTAACTGCTGATTGAGACTTTGATTTGTTGTTTCATAATGCTGTGAAGATGTTAATTGTTAATTAAGTCATCTTATTCACAATAATTTTGATTATTGTTACTGTATTCATTTTACTGGTGATTATTAGGTCATGTCAAGAATCTTATTTATATTTATGTAGATGAGGAAGAGGAGTCTCCCATGATTCGTGGATTTTCTGATGATGAACCTCTTGTTATAGCTTGAGAATTGTTTGTAAAATTTCCCAGTATTTCTTAATTGTTCCTTTAAACAAGATTATTTTATAATATTTTGTTGAAGCTTCTGATTGTACCTGTTTATTATACTCTTAAGTTCTTTTGTTACATCAGTTCAGATTGCATTACTGAACATTGTATGCATGCAGTTTAGTATGGTTTGCATCATTTAATGTAGAATAAGCTGTTAAAATGTTGAAATTCAGTATAAAAGGAGCTATGGGCATTTGGTGTATTACCTCAACTCCTTATTAGTAATGTTTTAAATGAATGTGTACTTGTAAATGGTTGCGTATGATCTACCTGAATTTTGTATTCAAATTTTTTGCCGTAATTGTCAAATATGGTTATATACATATATATATGATAAATTATTCATTTTTTTTCTACATTCCATAATATTTTTTAAAATCATCTTATGTATTTAAACATACTTGTGGGATTTCTAAAACAATTTACTAATTAGAAATTATTTAGCCATTATTTCTGGAAATTGAAAAATATCCAATTACTTTTGTAAGAGATTTTATTTGTAGTAATCAAAGTAAGCGGTATTTTAGAAGTTATGTATATTTTATTTGATAATTTCCTCTGATCATTTGTTTGGGATTTTTTAATTAAAATTTTTTTATTGAAATATAAAAAATACCATTTTGTGTTTATTTTTCTGTAGAATATTTTGCATTCCATTTTAGATGTAAGTTTTTAAAGTCGAAGATGTTAACCAACAGTGAAGTTATAAATAAATTTCAGTAATAACAATGAGTATTATTTATAAAGTAATTTTTCTTATTGAATACAGATAATAGTTTAAAATTTAAACGTTTATTTCGTAGCTTATTGTTGAGTTTGCTGTTCTGTTTTTCCTGGTTTCCGTGTTGTTTACGAAATCATTACAAAAATGTTTTGCTATTACAGAAATCTAACCTTTTTTTTTTTTTTTTTTTTTTTTTGTGTGTGTGTGTGTGTGTAACAGAGCATTTTTTATATATATTGTGCTTAATTTTTTCTTGCTTTGTTTTTTTTAATTAGTTCTTTACGTAACCAATTTTAATGTACATAAAGTGTAATCAGTAATTTTTAACTATATGGTTTTTTATAAATACCAATTTTTCCTGACTTCTATTTTCAGTTAATTTTATGAATTTATTGTAAATGGCTTTTAGATTAATTCTAAATAGCTTTCAGATTTTTGTAAAGCACGATTAAATATGCTAATATATTTTATTATATTTTATTTATACACAAAATATACATGTATAGGATGAGCTCAGGAGCAAATTAGTTTATTTAATGATTTGTATGAGAATTTAATTTAGATTCATAAGTTTGTTACTTTATTTAATATATTTAAGCATGTTTAATCATTAAATATGAACACAAAAATGGATTATGTTGTAATATTAGTTTAGTACATAAACATAAAGATAGATAATAATTTAGCATGTATTTAGTATCTAACTGCATTAAAAAACTGAAGCATCTATATTTGTGGGTTACACTATTTTGCTTCTAATCACTTCTTATTCTATTAAAAAAAAACATGTTTTCAGTCACATAAATAGAAATGAAGACTGTTTAATATGAATAGTTTGTGTAACTTTATTGTGTTTTATTTTGTTTCTCAAAAAAAGGAAAACAAAAAAGGGGGGGACTTCTGTTCCCCCAATCCTAAAGGGAAAAGGAATTTTTATTTGAATTTCAGTTTTGTATTCAGGATTGTATAGTTTTCTTTAATTATATGTATGTATGTGTTATATATTTATACTGTGTCAGTTTTATAGTTTCCCATCTTTTTGTTGTATTGTTAATATAAATTACTTATTTTGTGATAAAAATGTATATGGAAGTTATAATGTGATATGCATTAGATTAGTCTCCAAAATGCTTTTTGTTCCTTTCAATTCCTCCCCACCCCCTCTTGAATGTATCAAAATTCAGTTAGTTACACATATGCATTTCCTTTCGCAGTGGAATTTAATTAAAATGGAAATTTTTACAAAGAATATTACTTATGATAATGCTGTCTTGGTATAAAAGCACATGATAAATGAACTACTGAACATTTGAAATTCTGTTATGAATAACTTTCATTGTGTTTAATATTTTGCTTTAGTAACCCATTGTAGTTATGTGGAACGTATAAATGAGACAGACATGAACGATGAATCTTTGCGATCTCCATAGTCTTAGAATAAGTTATGTTTCTGTGTAAGGTAAAAATGTTTTACTTATGAAATGGTAAAACACCGAATTAATTCTATTTTTACACTTAGAATTTTATGCTTTAGTTCTGATGAAAGGGACAAAAAAAAAAAGAAAACATTTTGAACATGCAAAATACGTGTAAATAATAAATAAAATTATCAGAAAACTAAAGTTAAGCTTGTAATCATTGTATTACATGCTTAACTTTAGTTTTCTGATAATTTTATTTATTATTTACATGTATTTATATATTATATACATGTATATTTTCTTATATGAGTATTCCACATAAATAAAATATGCATTTAGCAGGAAAAAAATAACTTTACAGAACAACAAATGTAGTTAAAAATGTTTTAGATTAGTATATACAGCATTGGCTTAACCTTTATTTGGCGTAATGTAAAAAGTCTGACATATTAAGACTGATGTATCTGTCATGCATTTAATTTCATAGAATATTTATGTGATTTCATGTTGCAGCATGAAATCTCAGGTTATATGTCATGAATTTTTTTAACTCAAATATGCATTTTGAATCATTCTCATGCTGTGCACAAAAGCTGTTGTATATGTACCATGAAGGCATTTTGAGACTGGCTGTACGAAATCATCTGCACCTGCAACAACGATCAATGTACTCTTTCCACTTGCCTGTAAGTGGAATGGTTTCAGATGTTAAAATTTACAGCACTGCTTACTAGTTATGTTGATAGTTAATGAAGTAATTCTGTCATGAAAGTACAGTTTTTATGAATTTATGCATGGTGTATGTATTTCAGTTTGAAAAGGGTATTAAAATTTTTGCCTGTATTTTCAGCCTTATACTTACATAAATCAGAGTTTCTGCAATGAAAATAGTAATATCTAAATAGAGATATTGATGCATGTTGCTACTTTTTAACCTTAAAAGCACATCATAATATAACTCTGTGGAACACAGCTATAACAGATTTTACTTTAAAAGCTGAGGCTTTAATGTTATAATACTTAAAGCAACTGTAATAGTTCAGAACTATAATAATTGTGTTGTAAGGTCACAGATGATCTGTTTAGTGTATTGGTAATTGCTGTTTTGAAAATGTCGAAACGGAAAACAAGTTTTATTGGTTTAAAAGCGCATAATTAGGTATAAATATTCTGCAAGGAGTTATTCAAGAAATCTTTCAAAATATTGTTTAGTGAAATAGTAGCTCAGTTTAATTATACAAGCAACTACAATAATTAACTATTAAATAAGGTGTATTATTTATACCAGTGTTGGCCAGTTTTATATCTTTGGACAAACTGCACATTTTGTTTCATTTAGAAAATGCTTTTGAATATCCCCTTGAATTATGAACAGCAGATATTTCAAAATTCTTGTGGTTCTGATTTCAGTTTATTTTCTTATAAAGGTAGCCCACATGAAAGTAGATGTTAGGAAGTAATAAGAAGAATTAATTTTATTAACTTTGCCGTGGGCCACACTGATTTGCGCTAATCAAGAACTGTTTATTTCTTGTTTTTACAATTTTTTCAGTAAATTTTATCAATCTTTCTTATCGTGTTTTTATTCTTATGATCTGAAAAGGCATTTTTAAATGCATATATTTTTCTTTCTTAGCTTTTATTTTCATTTTCATAATATTAACTAAATGAATAGAAGTGTGAAAATATACAAATTCAAGGTCAGTAAAAATAAATTTTATTTACTTGGCCATGGGCTGTCGCTGATTTTCACTTATTAAAAAATTTTAGTTCTACTTTTTTACAATTTTGACAATAAATTTTGTCAATCTGTTTTATTTTTATTCTTAGGCTCTGAAAAAGTATTTTTAAATGTATATTTTCCCCCTGTCTGTATATTTTTTAAATGTATATTTGTTATTTTCATTTTCATAATATTAACTAAACGTTTAAAAGTGTGAAAATATACAAATTCAAGAATTTGGTCAGTAAAAATAAACGTTGTTTACTTGGCCATGGGCTGTAACTTTTTTATTTAGTTGTACTTTTTTACAATTTTGCCAGTAAATTTTATCAATCTTTTTTTTATTTTATTTTTATTCTTATGATCTGAAGAAGCATTTTTAAATGTATACTTTTTTCCTCTCGTAGCTTTTATGTTTTAATTTTCACCATATCAACTTGCAAGTGTATGTGCATTAGTATCTTAAAGTCTGCTAAAAGATTTTTTTTTTTTTTTTTTGTTTGCATACAAGGAAAATAAATTACCATTAAAAATAAAGTATACTGCAATTTGTATACTACACTTGCCATTCTAGTTTTTAATTAAATGTGGAATGTTTTATGTAGTTTTGCAATGAAATTGTGATATGTGTATGAGATGCTGATATTAAGAGAAATTTAAAGAGATATATATGTAAATATCATTTGTAATAAAGGTTGTATTATCTGTACAAAGTTTTTCTGTCAAATAATTTATCTTTTATTCTTGAATAGGATCTGAATGCTTACGAAAAATTTGACTAACTTATTAAAATATACAAGGTCTTTGATAAAAATGGTGAAAGGCTTTACTTCCTTGAGTAACAATCCTAGATGTGTTTCATATTATCTGACATACAAGTCCATGCTTTAAGTTTAAAAATATCTTTTAAACATCTAATTGACATATAGGCTGAGTATAGAAAATCATAGTGACTTCTGTTTACATTTGCTTAGAAATAGTGATTATATTGAATTAGAATGATGAATTATGTTTTTCTCATTTCAAATGAAGCAAAAATTGAGAAAAATTATATACAAAATATTGTGAAAGGAAAAATAATATTGGTCACCATACATATTGCCAAAACATGGTAAAATTAATTTTCACATATAAAACCATTACTTTTCATTGTTAGCTTATGTTAAATCATTGACAAGATCTACAGTCTGTCATCATAAACTAAAATAAAGTATTCTTCCGGCTCCTTTTAATCCTCTAGCACTGCTGTGGCATCATGGTGTGGATCTTATTTATTATTTGATAGCATCATATTTGCCGTCAGATTTCCACAAATAATTTTCTTCACCCATAGAATTTAAGCTTTTATTATAAATTTGCTTTTTAATAACAGCTTGCCTGTTTACTTTAACAATTAAAACAACTTCCAATTCCTTTAAAAATATATCAAGGGGGGAATTAAAAATATCATAATCCTATTAGAATATATCAAGGAATTCATTTAATTTTTGAATGAATATTTATCCTATTATTATCCCATTAATTGACTATGCATTTTTACATGGTGTATGACATTTTAAAATTTTCTGTTTTTTTAAATAACAATAATAATTTAGAATAACATTTTTAATAAAAATTATCAAAACATGAAATATTGAAAAAAATTTTTCATTTATCCTCAAATTCCCAAGAATTTAAATAATTTAAGAAACATATTGTTATGAAATGTCCAGAGGTAGGATTGCTTCCCCTCAAAGCGGGTTTAGGGTTGCCATAAAGTTGAACGAAAAACAGGGTTGCCAGTTTTGGTGCGAAATCGCCCATTTGGCCATCCCATAGATGCAACATTCTAGAACAAATACTTACCAGTTTACCCTAGAATATTCTCGAAGACAGGTTAAAAGCTATATGAACCGTGCCTGTACGCGGAATAACAGTTTATCATCGAGGGTATCGGGAATTTTATCGCCAAGAGTATCTTGAGTGTATTTGAGCTCCAAGTTGGGAGGCTCTATTTAATGTTTTGAAGCTGCCTACACCGTTATAGACTGAAGGCTGTGTTGCTGATTGTTTCAATGTGTTTATCATAGTTTTCGATGATTGTAAACGTGTTTTTGGAACTTTCCTGGGGAATAAATTGTGTTTTGATTCTTCATCAAATATTGTCAATCACTCCAAATCCACGAACCCGTAGAAAGCAACAATATTTTAGTTTCTTCATAATAATTATGCAGTAATACGCAAATAATTATAACTACTTACTAATGTAATGCCATTAATGTTAACAAAAAGTATCAATAATACATTTTAATCATTTGGATTTTTGAGTTATAGCTTATCGATATTCAATATTAAATTAAAATTTTCGTCGACAGAGGGTGCTGTAAGAGATCAAATAACACACTTCAAGGAAAACTATATTTATTTGCATGCAGGCAAATATTTACAAGCATTATTCCTCTTATTCTATATGTCCGTCATCACCACAAATTACAATTTGTAAGCGAGTTATAACACTGTCAAATGCAGCATGTAGCATATCCGAATGGATGCAATAGATTTCATGACGAATGGCATCCTTTAAATGCACAAAAGAATATGGGCTATAGTGGTACACTCTGGACTTGACATAACTCCAAAGGCAAAAATCAAGTGGTGTTAAGACCGGCGAGCGAGGGGGGCCAATCTACAATGACGACTAATCAATCGCTTTTCGGTGAAAGTTCTTCTTAGCAACGTGTTCACTTCGTTTGTGATATGAGGAGGTGTGCGTCTGGCATGAGTGTCACTCTGTCAAGGATATTATGTTCCAGTAAGTACGGTACCACTTTTTTCTACTGCATTGGCAAGTAGTATTTTCCAGTAATTGAGCAGGTCTTCCAGCCAGCTTTTGCACAGCACTGTTCAAAGAAAAAAGGGCTCACAGTAATAGATGCAATGAAACCACATCAAACAGTTAAATGCGGTAAATGTAGAGCTCCTCAATATAGACACGTGGGTTCTTCTTTGCCCAGATTCTATTCAGCTATTGTGGATCGTCATCAATTTTCGACAAAGCCCAATTTACGAATTCGTATTGTTTAGCTTTGTCATTTGATAAGAGCTAGTGGATTGATTGTAACTCGTTGGGGTACAATTTTAAAACACAGTGAAGGAAGTGGAATACCGTGGTTTTCGGTATACCAGTGTTCCGGCCTCTTCTCTGCGCTACTTCTCTTAGAGTGTCAATCTGTGAAACAACATCAAAAGTAAGGACCTCTAATAAACTCTGTGCACCATAATGAAGGCAATGACACAAACTTCCCGTTTCTTCGAAAAGTCGTTCTAGGTAAGTCAATCCAGCTAAAGTGATTGGACCTGAACCTTTCTTCCATTTCTTCTGAGTCCGAAACATTCGCTTTTTAACATCCCTTTAACAAAAACTATTTTTAAGTTTAACATGTTTTATCAACGTTAGTTATCAATAGAGATGGTCCAAGTGGAATAGCAAAACATTTTATAAGATACCATCTGAATGTACAGGGTAGAGATGCTCCAATTGGAATAGCAAAACATTTTATAAGATACCATCTGAATGTACAGGGTGCGTCAAAAAAGTGTATACACACTTTGAACCGTCATAGAAACTGTATTTTACCTGCTACAAGGTTCAACTTCTGGAGAAAGTAATTTTATCTTTCTTCAACAGGTGGCAGCAGAATTGTCGCTTCAGCTACTCAACCCAGTTAGTGGCAAGTAAGTAACTGCAAGATGGCGGACGTACGTTTGAGCTTTAAAGCGCGGAAGCGGGTAATTAAGCGGTATTGGAAGTTTGAGAATGTTGCTGCGGTTCAAAGACAGTGGAGACGTGAATATAGTACAGAACCACCTTCAAGGGTAACAATTAAACATTTAATGAGACAAATTCTAAATGTATGGAACAATGTGTGATGTGCATAAAGATCGATCAGGTAACCGTGTATAGCTGTAAGTGAGGAATCCTCAGCTGCGGTTTCGGAACTGTTTCATTTTTCACCTCAAAATGTAGTGAATGGGTTTAGGAGATGTTGAGGCGTGAACCGGGATTTATGGGTGCCATAATTTGGTCGGAAGAAGCCCAATTCAGACTAAATGGAACTGTCAATAGGTAAAATTTTGTGTACTGCGCTAAAGAAAATCCTCACATTGCTGTTGTAAAAGCTGTCAATTTTCCCGGTGTAAATGTGTGGTGTGGTTTTTTTTCGCAAGGGGACTTACTGGACCTTTAAACTTTGAAGGTAATGTAACAGGCGAAAAGTACCTAACAGTGCTTGCTGATTCCATATTCCCTGCCATTCGTGCATTATACGGTAATGACAAGTTTGATTTCTAATAAAATGACCCCCTCCGCATAATCATCGCGACGCACGAGCATACCTGGATCAAAATTTGCCAGGCCACAGTGGATAAGACGCAGGGTTTCCTCCACGCTCTCCAGACCTTACACCACTGTATTTCTTATGAGGTGTACTAACGTAAACCACGTAACCTGGACACACTTTGTAATGAGATTCAAGCGGTGCGAGCAGAAATCCAATTGGACACGTTGGTACGATGTACGGAATCAGTGGTGACTCTTACTCGGAAATGTATTGATGCTGAAGGCCGCCATTTTGAACAGTAATCACATTTGCGTTTATGTTTCAAACTGGACTTTAAGCTTTCCATTTCCAACAATTGAACCTTCTAGAACGGAACATAAATTTTCTATGACGGATCAAAGCGTGCATACAGTTTTTTGGCTCACCCTGTATATCTGGACTAACATGGGAATTTTTCATAAAAAAACATAATCTAAAATAAATTAGAAAAAGGAAGATGGTTACCTGCATGAGGTTACCTCTATTAAAATATGTGTATATTTGAAAAGGAAAAAATTATATAATGTAATTCTCTAAAAATATTTGATACTTTTAATTAGCTATATAATATTATATACTGCAATAAACAAGAAAAATTAACAACTAAGATAGTTGTAGGTAGTCCAAGGAGAACACAGAGATGAAGCAAATTGTGCATAGTACACGAGAAATATCGTCGAAGATTACCGGTACCGCTCACAGAATAAGCTATAAAAAGAAAAATTCAATCAGCTAACTCTGTAAATCTCACTAATCTTTGAAGAAACTTAGAATTAAATTAAATAACTATTCCTATGTGTAACTGTAACCGTATTCGGCCCTTATATGTAAATTTAATCGTACGTGCCTTCCTGTTATTTCGAGAAATAAAAGTTATTAGATATTTCTTGGTAGCCGGGGAAAAAACCATCTAAGACACAGATGGCATCAGTTCTCAGGTTTCAGTTCAGAGATCTCTGTGCGAACTTCGCTTCCTGGATGCGCTTTGCACTGACTTGTATTTAATGTTATTAGAAGTTTGAAATGGTAATTACGGAATGCGCTCTGTCCTGATGAGAAGAGCTGTGTGAGTATTCCTGGGAAAAGTTCCACAACTGTTAATTGTTTCTTTTGGGAAAATACATTTTACCAATCGATACTTGGATCGATCAAGTTCATTTAATCCATTACTAAACCATACGCACGCAAAAATATTATTTGGCGCCATATTCCCGCTAGATTTCTCACAATCTTACTGTTTCTCAGGAAGGTAATTAGCTAATCAATTTCTTCCTGAAAAATTAAGAAAGAAATTTAAGCACTGAGAAACTGGAAATGAGAAGATCAGTGCTACTTATAGCAGTTAATAGAG